TAACGTTACTTTTTGTATACATCTATAAACTCTACAATGATATAAATAATTAACGTAGGATTAATATATTAAATAAATGCGTATTAATTGGATAATTTAAAAGAGAAACATACATTGCAAGAACATCGACGATCGATCTAACATCTAAATTTATTGTTAGTCCAATATACCAATCTCCTTTATGCGGTTAAAACTTCATCTCTTGAACTTTCTTCCGGATTGAGTCCAGTTACTTTCGCAACTTCTTCGACTAGTGTCCGTCCGTTCGTAAACGCGCTATTCGATGAAAATTCGATGGGAAGTTTCTTAGAGAGGAACACGATGAAGAAAATAAAGGAAAAACCGAGAAAAAGAAGAGAAAAGAAAAACGATTTATCGATCCACCTATCGACAAAGAATGACCACAGTTTGCACCTTCTAAGGGGATAATCTTTTCTTACTAGTTTCCGATTTCTTACGAGATAGTTAACGCTAAGAAAACGTATTATGGTGATTTACGCTAAACTATAAAATCTAAACATTAAGAATAACAAAAAAATATATACAGGATATCTTAATTTTTATCAACAAACTTTGACCACCTATATTTTATAAATAAAAATAATAACAATATGCCATACGAAAAACTTCGGTTATTATTGTCTAGAAAATCTTACGTATTAAATATTACTCTCAACCATGGAATAAATATATTTTTTTGCTTCGAATAATCGTTAAATCAATACTTCTTTTATGTATACTTATTACGTTTCAATACGGCGTTAATGTTCATTCATTTTTATAAGATAATAATCATAATCGTGTTTCTATAAAGAATTTCCAACGAGTAGTCTGATCAAAGTCGAGTTAACTTTAAAAGATGATAAATAAAAGAATGATAGTGTAAAGAAGAAAGGGAGAGAGAGAGAGAGAGAGAGAGAGAGAGAAGGAGGAAAAAACGTCGAAACAAATTCCGTTTCGTTCGATCGAACAGAAGCTTAATTTTTCAAACGTTGGAATTGTCGATAAGAAGTAACCTTGGTATATACTGACGTGTGCAGAGAATCGAAACGGCACGGACGTTCGAGTATAATTCCTAGAGAAAAAGAAAAGAAGAGAATATTTTTCCTCTGTTCCTACGTATCTTCGTTTATTTCGATGTTCGTTTTTTCCTTTCCTTGTTTCTATATTTTCGAGTTTTCTCTACTGCGGTTGTTATATTTTTTTTTCTACTTCTTCTTTTCTTTTTACTTAGGTCAACCTCCTATCGACCGATACTACTGTCGTTATTGCACAGCTTCTTCCAAGGATTTACTGGTAAGAATAAAAAAAGAAAAAGAAAAAGAAAAAATGTAAAGGAAGGAAGAAAGAAAGAAAGGTAAAAAAAAAATATATATATATAAGGAAAAGGGAGAAGGTTTCGTTCTGTTTCGACGAAACTTAAAACGAGCGACGATATCACCTAAGGCAGCAAAAAAAGACATCGGGGCAATCGGAAGGACTCTTTTCTATCTCTCTTCCTCTCTTTCTCTTTCTCTCTTTTTCTTTCTCTCTCTCTCTCTCTCCCTCTCTTACTTTACTTCTTTCGAGAGAAGGCAATACGCGTCTCACGAAATAAAATTAATCGAAAAGAAGCAATTTCTTGGGATAGTACCACTGCAGGTTCTAAAGTCGATACTTTTCGTATCGATAGCTTGGGATTCTTTCTCTGCTTCCTATTGCTAGAGCTACTACATTTTTTCAACAAATTATTCCTTTAATTAAAAATTACAAATATTAAAGTTATATTAATTATGATATTACTTCGCGACAAATTATTCGAGATATTTCGAATAATTACCGAGTAATATGGATAAGCTAAAATTCAACCGCAAACTATGTGAACGAGATGACGTCATCTCGTAGCTTTCACAGGTATAGAAATAATTCAGACATTATATAGTGGCACGCATCAGTCGTTTGTGAATTCTAAGGTAGTTTGCTACATGTGTTGATGATCGTACGCAAGGGTGCAACGGAGTCAACGTTAGTTGCCAGAAAGTGCGTCTCCTATATTATGAAATACGGGATGCGTTCAACGCGTTCTCCCATTTCTGCATATTCAAACAAAAATATTGAGAACAACAAATTTGCCCCAGTCGAAAGATATTATAAATTTGGACAAATTTTTCTTATCATCGTATGTATGATATAAATACAAATTCTGAACAAATTTAAAAGATTCACATTGCATCGGATGAAATCTGAAAGCATGGTATTTCTTGATTTAACGTTCCTGACATTTTCGAACACGTTTGGATCCGTAGCAGATCTTTCAGCAAGAGAGAAAGAGAAATGAAAAGGAGACGAAAAATGAGGAAAAGAGAGAGAGAGAGAGAGAGAGAGAAAGAGAACCGATAGTTGGTACTACATATACTTTTTCTTTTTCTCTCTCACACGATTTTTCCGCTATTTCATCTTCTAAGGAGAGAAAGCTCGAGAATAAAAGAAATATAGAAGCTAGATGATTCTTGCGTTTTCTCTTCCGTCACATCAAAAGAAGAACGTCAACGTAGTAGTAGTAGTAATACTAGTAGTAGTAATAGAAGTAATAGTATGGTCCGTCTCGCGTGACAGAAGAACCGATGAAATGAAAAATTTTCTCTCCCTCTTTTCTCAATTCCTTCCTTCCTTCCTTCTTTCCTTCATTTTTACTTATTTTTCCTTGACTCTTGTGTAGTTGGTTGTAGTGTTGGTAGTGTAGGTGGGTGCATCAATGGGGATCGATTTAAACGAGGGGAACTATGGGATGTGTGCGAGTGTAGGAAGGGGAATTTTAGAAGAAAGAAAAGGGTAGAAGTAGGAAGAAAAAAATAATAAAAAAGATAGAAGACGTAGGACCAACTACGACGAGTCGAATGTCGAAAACGGATCGAGTAGAAACCGAAGAGAAATCAGGGGATCTGTGCTAGGAAAATTCGAGCCGAACGAATCTAAGAAGAATCTACTGAAAGAGAATTTCAAATGGGGAACGTGTCCGTCCATTGGTAGATCTTCTCTTTTACTGCATCCTGAACCCCTGAACCTCAACCCCAATCTTAACTCTCCTCCCCACGTCCCACCGTAAAGCCGCACCCTTCGAGGGCAACGTCATTTCCCTCCCTTCGCTACTTTCTTTCTTTCTTTCTTTCTTATTTTTTTTTTTTTTACTTTTTTTCTATGATCTCAAATTTACTCCGGGTCTCATCTTTTTTTATTTTTTATTTTTTACTTTCTTTTTTTTCTCCTTCCTAACCCAACTTCACTCACTCCTGTATCTTATCGTTTCCCGTACTGTCTTCCTCGTGGATTCTCGTGAGAATTTGAAGAACCGAAAAGGAAATTCTTTTCTTTTTTTACTTTTTTCTTCTTTTTCCTACTACAGTAAAGAATAAGAGAAATCAGACTGATGTTACAAGAAAATGTCTTCTTTAATGAATTCTATTATATGTTAAGTTTGTTTTATTTATAATTATTATTTTTATATGGAAGAAACACAATTTTGACATTAAATTAATAAGTATCCTAAATTTTCTATTCAATATTTATTTTTTTAATTAATTTAATTTTGCTAAATTAAGATTCCCATATTCCTGGATAGAGCACTTATTTAAATAAATCAATTTAAAGAGGCTATACATTTGTCTGATATTTTCTAATCACATCCTAATACTTTTTAGATAATCTTACAATTTCTACAAACTATTATACTTTTATCCAACATAATAATCAATTTTACTTATTAATATACTTAAATACCTTAATCTTGAATGTTTCTACAAACTGGTAGAAAGAAAAAGAGGAAGAAAATGTGCAGTGAAAAAGTAATTCTCTTGAAAATACTTGTACGAAGCTATCCTCGAATACACGATAAAGGACTCCTAAAGTGGAGTTACGTTGGAATGCTACTCGACCATGAAAAAATAAAAAATAAAGAAAGAAGATCGATAATATAGCCAGGATAGATACGACAAGAGAAAGAAAGATAAAAAGAGAGATAGAGAGAGAGAGAGAGAGAGAGAGAGAGAGAGAGAAAGGGAAAAAGAGCTTTCATTTTTCACAACTTTAGAGCAACTTCATTGCAACGAATCCAAAGTAATGCAACGATATCTAAATGTTAGTACGATTAATTGAGCATACTTTTTAAATTCGTGATAAAGTATTAAGAACGAAAATCGGTATTGGTTATAAATACCTCATATCTATACGTTAATTTCACCAAATGGTATAACCATTTATATAATACATTTTTCTTAGTGACCAGAGGTAATTTTAATGTCTTTAGAGTAAGCATTTTTAAATTGAATATTTTTAAGATCTATTAGATAAAAAGTTCGTAACCGATGAAATGAAACGGTTATTAAATTTACCTAGTAGATATAATTTATTTAGTGATATCGAATGATTGAAATTGTATCATGAATTTTATCAAAGTCAATTTATACAGGATTTACTTAAAGATCGTTTTTAATATAAAAAGTAAGACAGTGATAATACTCGATAAAACTTAATTGCAACAAATCGATATTACTGGTAAATAAAATGTAATAATATATAATAATGAATGTTATATCTTATCTCGACAGGGAAAAGTATGTTTTTCTTTTTATTTCTAATTTCTTCTTTTCATTATTGTGAAGTGAGCTTGATAAATTTCCTTTTCTTTTTTTCTTCTTTTTTTCTACAGTATTTTATATTAATTTTAAAGGAAATATCATTTAAAAAACGGGCGCATTTTCACAAATATTTAAAGCTACATTTGTAATAGAATTTTAAATAACAATGTATATGTCATATTTAGTTTTTATGTGTGCCTTCAGAAATGAACATCGTTCTTTATATCGATCACGCATTTAATACTAGTAAGCTAGAAAATCTTCTATACTTTTTTCAACTTTTTAATAAGAATAACTTACTTTTTGTTCTTTTTTTCTTAGCGAAAGAATAAACTAAATCTTAAATAAAGTCTTATCTCATTGTCAGTTAAGAAATTGTATAGAGGAATCAAAAGGGGCGAGTAATTCGATCCAAAAATCCTTGACCAGCCGGGCAAGAAGAAAAGATCCTTGAGCAATCCTCGTATTTTTGACCAACTTTGGCTGCTAAGAGGAAATCTTCAGGAAAAGATGGATCCTCGGCGTGTTCCGGTCTGCGGTGTGAAATAAATCGATTATAACAAAAACGTTCAAATTTTATAATAAGCGATGAACTATTGTTCGATATTTAATTGCAAAGTATTCAATGAGACAATACGTTAATAAAAGATGTAAAAGTTCTCCGATAAGGCCTTCGTTTATTAAAGGATCTACAACAGCCTCGCAAATGCTCTTTTTTATACATTCTCGGCCGTTTAATCCGTTTCTGAAAGAAAGAAAAATCTATTAATACGTTACAAAAATTTCTTATAATAGACAAATTTCATTTGATATTATGTGAAATAAATCATATAGATAATATATTTTTTCATTGGCTCAGTCTATTGTCGTAATTATCGGTAATGTGTACTATACCTTTGAAAATATTGTTCCAACGTATTAAAGAGAAGTACCCTTCCGTACCTATCGAGATCTCTACGTCGTCGTGAAAAGACGCGATTTTGTGATAAATTACTGAAGAACGTAGCGTTTTGCGGCAGAGCATATTGGAATTGAAAGTTTTGGCCGTAAACCAAAATCCTTCCAGCTAGTTCGATCGGTACTGCGAATCCTACCACGAGCTACATTGCGAAACACAACCATTTATAAAGTAGTAGAAGTAGTCAAAAATAGTAGAAAAAAGAGGAAGGAGGAAAGAAATATATTTCTCGAAATGTTTACCATTACGATGTTCGTATTTATAATAAAATATCCCGCTAGAGAAATGAATTATCATTTATTATTTCAATGATTGAAGCTTCTTCCGATCGAACACAATTCTTATAATTAAACAGTAGATTTTTTTCTCAAAGAAAAATAAAGAGAAATAAAGTCAAAATAAAGTCAAAGAAAGTAGAGATTTTCATAAGGTCTGAGTAACGTACCGCGATAAAGATGCGAGTTGATCAATAACAGCTTGGGATTGTATCTAACATAAGAAACAAGTCTGGGATTCATCTTAGAGAGTACATTCGCTCGTAAAACATTTGTATTATCCTAGATACTGATCAAATCAATTCAACATATATGAGTGGCAATATAGTTTTCTCTTAGTACGAGAGTTATAAATATGGAGAGACAAAAAAAACATTGGATAGATAAGAAATATCAAATTCTTTTTTTTCGTAACGTTACTTTATCTTCTCTCAGAAGGAGGAGATGCCTAATTATTTGTTTCTTACTATCTTTTTCTATTTTTATTGTAAATTTTGTTGTTTGATAAATGAGAAAAGAGAAGTGAAATGACGCTGTCTCCAATGGTTATCTTTTTTCTTCCATTCTGTGAAAAATTTCACCATTCTTGACACTGGCGTGGTTTTGGTATTTGAACTTTTAGAATATCGCTTAACCACCTACTCCTTCCCCGTCTCCCTATTTCGTTCCCGTGATTCCCAAGATATTACGTTGTTTCGAAACTTTTTCCTTCTTTCACGTCTGTATCAACCGGCCGAGCCACCCCCAAGCTTCCTCCTTCTGTTTTTCTTTTCAATTTCCCTCCCTCTTTCTTTTTTTTTCTTTTCTTCTTTTTTAACCCCTTCTACGTTTTCCATTTTCTTTCTTTGTCGTTTTCCTTCCGAGGTCTTACCTTGTTTTCATTTTCTTTAGTTAAATTGCATAATATTGAATATACCGAGTTGATCATCTAAAATAAGAAGTATTAAAACATTTCAATTATTTTTAACGAGGAATTATAATATAACAAAAAATGAGTATGTAAATACCTTGTACAATGGATTATTTATGTTTGAAGTTTATGAAGCTTTTATTATAATAATGAATTGATTAACGTTTGTGTGTGTAGATAAGTATATTCGTTAGTATCAATGATTTTACGAAGATTTTATTCATCGGTATTACGTAAAAGCACTCTCTATCGATTTTCCGAATCAGCTCGAAGTGAACTATATACAATAATACCTTTTACCATTCTCTCGGAGCTTTCTCTTTCTATTTCCCCACTTTTCAAGCCTTCCGGGAGATATCCTCGCGAAAATCGCTAAGCGTGCACCGTTTTCGCTACGTTCGACTACAGACTTGCACCCGTGTGGAATTTAAATTTTCCTAAAGCGTAGGAGGTACAAAAGTAGATGGAGGTTACAGTAGAAGGCGTGGTATTCTCCAAGGAATCGTAAGACAAACCTTTGGAAACTGGCTTTTACACCAATGCTCGCACCTTCCCAAATTGACCTTTGGTCAATGTTCAAATTCACCGTTTTGATCATTTTCTCATTTACCAATATTCTATCTCTCGTTATTCAAATTTTCATTTCATAACTTTTTATAACAAACCCGTATAAATAATAATTATTATATTTTGTTGGAATGATATTTAAACGAAAACAAACCATCGACATTTGAAACTAAGTAAAAATATTTGTCCTTCAAAGACCTAGCTTGCAACGGGGAAAATATTAAACGTCCGATATAAAAGTTCCAAAGGAAAATTGTCGAAAGATATAAATACGGGGTTGGGGGAAAAGGACTTTTATTTCTACATAAAACTAACGTTATATGCATATAAACAAATACTCGGGCCGAATTTACGCTTATTTTTGTCTCCTCCCTGTTTAGCCAGGATTATTGAGGGATAAACTTTCAAATATTTGTAATACTCCGTAAGTACGCGACGGGGCGAGGAGGGATTGGTACTCGTGCGAGGAGTTTGCGCGCACGACCGAATTACGAGGCAAACACAATCGATGTCAATTTCTTTCCTTTTTTTTTTTCTTTTTTTTTTTTATTATACCTTGGCAAACTCCACTCGTTGTCGTTCCATGCCACGCGCGCATTGACCCGAATATACATCGTGTTTGCTCTCTTACCGTACTTCCGGAAGCAGCAATCAGGCAGCCCGAACTAATGTAAACGGCCGACGCGCACAACTTCGACTTTTCCATCTTTTCTTTTCTTTTCTTTTTTTTCTTTCTTTCTTTCTTTCTTTCTCTTTTAGAAAAGTTTCACCTCGCTTCGACTATTTCCTAAATTTTTCGCTTTTTCTTCTTTTACCTTCTTATTTTCAAAAAGATCTTACACAACGAAACGAGGTTAATGAGATCGGTCGAAAATCTTTCGATTATTTATTTTCATTGATATTTATCCTCTCTTCAACATTTCTTTTCCGAATATTCTAACATTTTTCTTTGACAATTTTTATTTATATAAATGAAATAAAATATTCTACAAGTTGAATCTGCAATGTATTTATAGTCTCGTTCAAAGAGATCATTCGTAATTCGATGGAACGTTCATTTGAAACTTGCTTTTAGCAATAAAATGAATCAACTTTGGATAATATTTCATTTGACAAGAAAGACAAGATATTAGACAAATTTTGATCTTCATTAATATTTAATATTATTCATCAAGTATTCCTTTTAACTTATTTACCATTTATTATCCCTTTTGATCGATTTCTAATTATTCGTTATTTACTTTGATAACAAATTTTACTTTGTTAATATTTTCCGAATACTTTGATATTTGATAATAGAATGATAACAAAAAATCCTAATACAATAAAAACCTACACGAATGTGTGTATTCATTGTATTTTACGATAGATTGCTTCATCTTTTCTAAATAGTTTCATTGTTTTCGGGCAATTCGCTTAACTCGCTGAAATACGAAACGGAAAATGAAAAGCGTTAGACGGTACTCTGTAGAACTTGGTGAGCTTTGCACGCGATCAGAACGGATACCAACAACGAAACAGAGAAAGAGAAAGAGAGATGAGCGTTGATCCAAAGTTAAGTAGTTTTGTGGATGTTACATGGAATTTGTACACGATATATTATCTACCCTCGTGATAATTTAACATAAATTGTTTCTACGTGCAAAGTTTACACGGTTAAAACTAAAGATCGATAGAATTAGTTACACACACATATACACATACGTAACACGCTTTGTGTCGGAAATATTATCACACCTGATCAAGCTAGTTTAACCCTTGTTCAACGAGACTCTCTCTCTCTCTCTCTCTCTCTCTCTCTCTTTTGCGAAAGAAACTCGTTCAAAGTAGCACTCGTCCTACTTTGTATTTAGGTTTATCGTTAAGGTAACAGCCCGGAACGAACGGACGAGAAACGTGTTATTTCTATCCGTTCGTTTGGAATTAATATAGAAAGAAAATTTATCAAATATTCCATTAAACTCAATCTTGTTCCACTTACTTTACAAATTCGAATCAAATTGTGAATTATTTATAGAATTATATTTGAAATTGTTCGAAAAGTAATTTCGTTTTATTTCGAAATTACTACGAAAAACGAAATTATTTTACGAACAACCTAATAATAAACTGATAAAAGAGAAAGAAAAAAAGAGAATTAACAAGGCATGTATAGATCACAAAATACATTTTCATTATCATACAAACACCCTCCCAACCATTAACACGTGTGCATACACGTGTATAGGCGCACGTAGAGGTCGTTATACATTTGATTATTTTTAATTTAAATAGCAATCGTTCGTATAATTTATCTATTCGTTTTAAAAACGTACTCCAACCAATGTTCCATACATCTTTCCTATTATTATTGAGGTACATTATATTCAAGTCTCTTGGAATATTAGTAAAATGATTGATCGGGTGTTTACCCAATGAAACATTGAAGTACCATTTGGAACTTATTTTAAATATAAAGCTACTATTGCACGAGTGAAATAAGAGGGAAACATTGAAATAGAGAGWCAGAGAGAGAGAGAGAGAGAGAGAGAGAGAGAGAGAGAGAGAGAGAGAAACAAAACCTTAGACGAAAAGCATCGATCATATTTTATGTAACACGAAAACGGTCTATCAAGCGGAAATTTCATGACGGATCTTTCTCACACTCTCTCTCTCTCTCTTTCTCTCTCTCTCTTCCTCTTTATTTTTCCTTGTCCCTTATCTTCTCGTATCAAACGAAAAGTCTACGCACTAGGAAACCCGATATATCATTTTCGTGCTTCCTCCTTTAATCTCTTTGCTATAGAAAAAAAAAAGAATAAAATAATATAAAATAAAACAATAGGGAAAAGAAAGGAAGGAGGAAAACAGGGAAGGAAAAAGAAGAAATAAATCCTGTGCTAATCCATAAAAGAAACAAAACGAACGAACGAACGAACGAAAGTGCGTTTTTCAAACGAGCGATCCTTGAACTGCTAAAAGAGTCCTTTCATCATAACAAATTGAAATAGACGTGAAAGGGAGAGTGAGATAGAAAGCAGAAATGTATATATATATATAATATATATGTATATACATATATATATAGAGAGAGAGAGAGAGAGATAGAATCTCGCGAGGGAGTTTGAGAATCAACGTTATATTTTCACAGCCATTAATTTTCACGATGTTTCTCACTAATACGATAATAGAAAGCGTAATAGGAGGACATTCACGATAGGTAATAGCTTATAATTTGATTAATCTTAACGTTGAAGAATATTTTCAATGAAAATTATAATACGAAAAAATAAAAATATAAAAAAAAAAAAAAATAAAAAAGCGCTCCCGGAAGTAGCAATATATAAAAAAAAAAAAAAAAGCCATTATAATAGAACCAAGTCCTAATAAAAAGAATAAGAAGAAGATAATAATAATATTTTGGTTGTTTTCTGATGTTTTAAAATATATTGACAAGGCTTAGAAAATTAGAAATATTGTTTGATGGTTTGGTTTTTTATTTATTAAAAAAGTGAACGTTAAAGTAATCACAATCATCGATACGATTAGATTTTGATTTTGTTGATTGTCAATTGAGCAAATTAAAAGTGAAGACAAAAATTAAGTAAAAATGAATGGAAGAATCGTATAATCGGATTCGTAGGAAAATAAAATCAACCGTGCTTTACTTGAAACGAAGAACTTAAACGGAGTTTACTCGATTATACGACGTAATATCGAATTATATTTATATGGAAAACTACGAGAAAATGAAATTTCAAATCTGCTCTCTTCTCCCAGCAGCTTGTTCTCTTTTTCTAATTCACCTTTGCCGTAAAAAGAGGTTGCTCGAAAAGACAAAACGAAGAGAGTCAAAGGAGAAGGACAGAGAAATAGAAGAATATATCATCTTGATTCCCTATCTTCTCTTATTTTCTTTCTTTATCGAATTAATACGAATTTAAAAACGTTTAATCGAATATATTTGATCGTAAAGAAAAATTAATAAATATACAAAAAAAAAGAGAAAAGAAAAAACGTACCTTAATCGTACCACCGAAAGGATAAAGAAGTGGGGGTGAATATAAAAGGTTTCTCTTTTCTCTGAGGTCTCTATCGATTCGGCTTCGAGATAATTCGAAGAGACTGGCCAAAAGGAAGAAGAGGAAGAAACGAACACCGGTCATCTCGGATCACTAAACATAAAGTTCATACATAAAATCAAAAAAACCGAAACAAAATGTAGGGAAAGAAGAAAAAGGGAGAGAGAAAAAAAACCATAACATTCGTTAGTCACGAGCCATATATGCAGGACCATTTCGCAACGTTAAACTAAAATAATAATAATAATAATAATAATAATAATAATAATAATAATAATAACAATGATAACAACATTTGACGATATACCTCTCTATATTATATATGATGTATATGTATATATAATATCCGTTTATGTTCGACGATACGGCAAATGTTTCATGAAATGCGTCAAGTTATTTCACGTGCGAAACTGTAATAAAAACCTAGACGAACCTGTGCGATAAAATGAAATTGTGAATCCGTGGAGCGAGGGTGTGTGTATCGCCATTTCGATAAACGTCAGATCGATGTTCAAACAAATAAATATTTTTTTTTAAATATATACACTAACGGTTAAAATGATTTGACCATCTAACGGAATAATCAAATGTTTACTTAAATCAACACCCTATTGAATTTTTCTTAATACTTGTATTAGAAAATGAATGGTTTGTTAAACAACAAAAATTGAATAATTATCGTTGACTTCGATTGTGCCCATTGATCGATCAAAATTTTGTTTGTGCGTAACACAAGGATAATCAACGCGACTTAACGTAATCGAAAATCTTTATAAGATTGGAAATAATTATTAAAAATAAATATTTAAATACGTATTATAAGTGTAGAATGAAATCGCTTAAAAAGAAAACAATATATGTTTTATAAAAAACAATATTCGAGCCAGAAACTGAGCATAGAATAAAAACTACCGGATGAATAAACAAAGTTTGTCTACTCTTCGAAAATTCCTTTAACGAGTGAAAGAGAATGAGAGAGGGTGGAGAATGGGGTTGTGAGAGAGGAAGAACAATAAGAAGAAGAATAAGAAGAAGAAAAGAAAAGACATCGGAGATATTCCGATCGAGGAGAAAGAGTTTTCGAGTGAAGAGAAGGATTCGCCACGCTCGTTGAAAGTTTTCTTTCTCTCGAACGAAACGGTGAAAGTTTAGTAGACTTGGATGGTTAGAACAGGGATGATAGCAGGGGGTTGGAAGGAAGAAGGGGCGGGGACGGGGAACGTTTGGAGGGGGATACCAGGTGAACGTTTTATGAAAATCACGCGGAAAACGATGCTTTTCTTATTTTACTTCGGAAAGAAAATAAAAGGAGAGAAGAAGAATGAAAATAGAAAAAATAGATAAACTAGAACAAAAATTCGCGTACAGGTGTGTGTGTGTTTGTGTGTAGTATCTTTGAAGGCAACCCAACGCACGGGATCTTTAAATATAGGTGAACACCTTTATCAAGGTTACAATTTATAGGGGCTTTTATAGTCCCCTACCTCTTTACCCACTCGCATAAGTATCGCGCAACCTTTCGTGCTTTTCGACTTACGGTGTAACCTCTCGAGAAAGAGAACTGGGAGAGGGTTGAAACGATTTTCAAATAGGACGACGATAAATAACTCCAATCCTTTTCTCATCATTTTCATCAATATTCTTGTGTTTTTTTTTCATTTCGTTCGAAAAATTGTTCCAAGGAAAATATATATATTTATTTAATTAGCATATCTATAATTAGAATATATTCATGTAATAATCTTAGAAAATTGGATTATTTTGAAAATAACAAATCTGACAGAGATAAATCCCATGGATCAGTATAGTAATTACAGTAATAGTAGGTTTCAAGGTAGAAAGCTGATAAACGAAGATCGGTCGAACGTCGGTAAGACCAAAGTAAAGTATCTTTTTTTAGATACACGAGACAGACTTCGTTTTCCATTAGAAGTGAACGTCGGAGCAAGCAGCAGCAGCAGCAGCAGCTATGGGGGGAAAACCGGAATCGCTCGGTCAGCGACTCGACACCTGCGATAAATTGTGGTCTCTACGTTCTGCAGAGTTTCAAGACGCGCTTCGGTGCTTCTCTAACGTCTGTTACCAAAACCTTACCGCTACTGTACTGATCTTTCAAGATTCAACTTAGCTATTACTAACAAAAAATGCCAATATTAATGCATCCATGGAAATCAATATCGAAAACGATTCTGAAACATTCTGTCGATGTTTCTCTCTACCGTTGGACCTACTGAACATGAATTTTCAAACAATTTCTAATTGATTGGTGAAATCAATTCTGATCACGATCGACAACAACCTTTTCGAATGGGATAAAAGTAACACACAACTTTCAAATTTTCAATATGCGTTCTTTAAAAAGCCTACGACGATGAACGAACGAACGAAGAAAAGGAAGAGGAGAAATATTAGAAGAAGATGAATGGGCTGGATCGTTCGTTAGTCTCAAGATAGTTCAATAACCTCTTTTCATTCTCCTCAAGCGAAAGTTTACACGTAGCTTTTATTATTTAATAGAAAATTCGATGCTAGTTATTATATCAAAAGAAAGAAAGACAGAGAGAGATAGAGAGAGAGAGAAAGATAGAGGAAGATTATCGTTTAGTTTCATGGCTGAGATATGATCAAGCGCATAGATAATAGGTATTTATACCTTTACTAAACCTTTAGAAAATTTCTCCATACTTCAAAACTTTACCATTTTTTCACGTTAACGATATAATAACCCTTGTAGATATAACGATTCAAGTTTTATGACTATTTAATAAAAATAATATAAATTAATGAGAAATGAATTATATTATCATATATATTTAATACTTTTTCTTTCTCAATATAAATATTAAAACAATGTGAAATTAATTCATACGTCAAGTTGTACGTTACCCTTATTGACCACTCTCTTTTATCAAAACCAACACATGCGATCGTGCGTGATCATCGAAACTTAATCATCAATAAGAAAGAAAAGTAATAGAGAGAAAGGAATAAAAAAAAAAAATAAATGGCTTCCGAGATACTTTAAGCTTTGCTTTCTTTTATCTCAACCGAATGGGTTTCGAGGTATCTAACTTTCAATGCCGGGAAAAAAAAAATAATTGAGAGAGTGAAAAAGAGAGAAAGAAAGAAAGAGAAAGAAAGAAGGGGGTTAAATAAAAAAAGAGAAAGAAAATCGGCGTATTTACGAATCGAGATAAACTAGTAAAAGAAGCGAAGATGTTGAAGAAAAATAAGAACGTATAGAAGTAGGAGGAAGAAAATGAAATGAAATAAGAGAAAGTAAAAGGAGAAGAAGAAGAAGAAGAAGAAGAAGAAGAGAAAAATAAAAATAGAAAGAAGAGAATAGCACACCGTATATCGCTTTCCTCGGGTATCTTAAGGCAAGTCCCGACAGGGAAATTTACTTAGGACTTTCCCCATTTCTCTCGCCTTCGCTTTTCATGCTAGAACATCTTGTTGTTTTTCTCTTCTTCTTCTTCTTTCTCTTTATATATATATATATATATATTTCTTTCTTTTTCCAACGATAAAAATACGAAAGAATCGAGGAATATCGTCCGATTATAAGATCATTTTTATCTCTTTTCATTTTTATATTATATTAAATGTAGAAATGAATACGGTGCTTTGATAATTCATTCCATCAAAATTGGTACTTTGTTTTCCGTGTATTAATGAAAATATAAAAAGGGGAAAATAGTGTGAACAGGTGATCGGTTAAGCCAAGGAAACATTGGGACCTTAAGAAATTTCTTACTCACGACGATAAAAGCATTCTGGCACGAAAGGTTGCCCTGGTTGCAGCGGAATACCGCAATTGCGATCATTAAGATTTCGAGTAGGTCCATGCCAAGTTTACTTCGCGATAAAACGATCATTGTGCAGTGCATAAAAAGTAATCCGTGGAAAGAGAGAGAGAGAGAGAGAGAGAGTGATAAAGAGGAACTTATTTTCTGGCACTAGTCGCATTAGGCTTCGCAAAAGCACTAAAAATAAACCTCCCGGTTTATCCGCATATTGATTTCATAATATATACTTATTATTATTATTATTACAATTTTATTTAGAATAAAATTCTATATTTTTGAAAAACTATGAACTTTTCTAAATCGTACTATTGCAATAAAACTAATTAAGCACTAACTAAAGAAAAGAAAAAAAGGAATAAAAAATATGAAATAATTAGACTATAGATTAATCGTTTTGGAATAACGCGAGAGGTATAAGAGCAATTTCGAATTTATCCAGGTGAATGGTAGGGGTTCGTTGATATAGCTATTTCTGTTGGTTACGTACATGAGTGTGTTTTGAAGAGTGGACTAATCGAGACTTGAGATCGATCTTAAACAGACGGCTAGAAGAAAGCACGTGCTGTTTCGCGACCTTCCATTCCCCAAACCCTTTTCCTCGTTTCCCTAAGGAAATAAGATCTCGGTGAATGATTTCAGAGGTGATTCGATGCAATCGGGATACGTTAACGTGCAGTCAACGCCAGATTTCCCCAATCTTTCAGCATCCCTGTACAACTCCTCAACGTTCCGATGAGTGGAATTAATCGAGGTTGCCAAGTCTTCCGACGGCCTGCCGACAAAAATCGAAATTCGATCGTTTCCCCATTCCTTGCTGAAACCAACCATTTCTCTTCTCTTCTCTTCTCTTCTCTTCTCTTCTCTTAATTAACATTACAAATTTATCACTAACGATCAAATGTTTCCAATGCCTTGCGTTCCAATTTTTTTACTCTAAAATTTCATGTCACAAAAGTCTTCACAATTTTCTTTACATTTTTTCATCATTTATTTATCGATGAAAATTTGGAACCATAGTATTTTAATATTCAAAATTAAATGAAATAACAAATTCAATGTCGTTGGCGAAGAAAATAAATGAAAGAAAATAGAATACCTAAAATAAAAAAAATAGACAACAAAAAAAGGGAAAAGTAAGAGACGAGTGATAATAAAAATGTTAGTAACAAAATGGGGCTCCGGTCTCTTAGGAAAATAAATTAATTTCATACATCCTCGCGATATTATCGTTCTAGAGTTCGTGCGTGAGATATAAAAAGAAAAAGGGGAATGAGCTTCTTTCCGGTTGGTGTAAGATATTTCGAAAAATAACCGTGAAAGAGGAGAGTACTGAAACGACTGTGAAACGTGATGAGAATGAAACAAGAATGTCGTTTCGATATCACGAGAAGCCAAGAGGAAGAAGAAAAAGATAATAAAAGGGATGGAAAGAGAAAAGATAAGAAAAGAAATGGAAGGGTACAAAAAATTAAAAAAAAAGAAGAAGAAAGAGTTCGTCATTGGTATCTGAAAATGAAATAGAAAAGGATAGAAAAGTCGTGAGTTTTTCGCGACAAATTAATTAAGACTTTTTCTCCTGATTTTTTTTTTTATCGGCTAGAAAAGCAGGAGAATAAGATCGCTAACGATTTTACAAATAAACTCGAACCTCAATCTATCGATACTTTCCTTTCATTTATCATTCTTTCTTTTAAATCGATAAATATTAGAAAAAGAGAAGATGAAAATAATGAGACTTACGTTAATATGAAATGTATCGCTTCGACGATTATATCGTCATCCTTCCTGAGAAGCGGAACTTCAGCGAGTTCGCAAATACTCCTTAAAAGGCATTCTCTTCCATTTCCCCAACCGTATCTGCGAACATTCGCATTGATAATATTTATCTACGTTAATAATAATAATAATAATAATAATATTAATCCATTAGGTATAAAATATCAGACTTTGAACTATAATCGAAGTAATCGAACGTTTAATACTTAATTACGTAATAATAATATATTACTTAATTATTACTTAATAAATAATAATGATATTATTATTATTAGACTATTAAATATGAAATGTCAGATTTCGAATAGCAAATAATCGAAGTTATTGGACATTTAATATTTAATTTCATAATAATAATAATCATAATGATATAATTATAATAATAATAGTCGAATGAGAAAAACAAAGAAAAGAACATTAAGATATTTTTTACTTTGTTTGAAAGTTCCCCTTTAGGAAAACTAAAGAATTATAAATAAACGTTGGAATATATATATAAGTTGAAAACGGTGGTGGTGGAAGTTCTCGTTGACGCGGATTAAACGAGCTCGAGGAATTATTCCAACGAAGAGGCACTCTCCCGGTAAGCTTTATCCTAGCTAATATTTTAGCCCGGCCACGACGTTGTCGTTGACCGAGCTTGATTCTCCTTCGTTAACAAACTGTAAACTGCTGAACGTAGTAACCTTACCCCTTGGTGTCTTTCGCGAACATATTTCTTTCGAAGAAAATACAATTTTTTTCAATATTTTTTCTTTTCATCCCAACTCACTTAATCTCGATTCAATTTTACGCGATATCGTCGTCGAGTTATGCTATAAATTATACCACTCTCGGTATTAAATGTCTATCACATTTTTGTTTATCTTGCCTATAATTTTTATCCAAGTCGCATAATTAGATTATTATAATATTATTTTTATTTCTCGAAGATGGTTCTGCAAAATCAGGAAGAAAAATAATTCGATAAACCGTTTTGCGCTACGAATGTACCATGATGATAGAATACCGAACATTTCTGACACTTTCTTAACTCTCAAAGCTTTATCATGGAAAAGAAACGTCTTCGTCGTTGTCGTTGTCGTCTATGATGGCCGTTGTTACCTGCATATCCTAGACGCCATACTTGAATCTCCTCTTCCTGCTAACGTAATTGCCTTATGTCCCAATTAATTTACCTTTAGAATTCTCTCCTCCTTACCTTGCTTCTCTAACTCCTTTGATCCTTCCAAGAGCCGATACTTGCTAGCAAAACTAGCTTCGTCAGAACATCGAAAGCAAACCGAACCATCTTGTCTGCTTTCCTTTCTATCCTAAACTTAACCTCCAAATATATATATTTTAGATTTACGATACGCCTTGATTTTTCTTTACATTATTATCAAAATAATAATTCGAATGATTTATTAATTTACCAACCAACGAAAACGAACTAACGCGTTCTTCAGAAAATCTAGATATCTATTTTCATTTGATACGTTGAAATAGTCAATCAATCAAAAATAGAATCTCAATAAACGTTGATGTGGTAACATGGTCGATGCCAAAGTTAAGTTAATTAGAAATTTATTCGTTCACTTTAGCTATGTTTACTGATTCATTGGACAATTTCGAACGGTAATTAGCGCTGCGTTTGTTCTTCCGCTTCCGAAATCCAAATCCACCTTTCCCTGTCCCTCTTTTTCGTCTCTGTGCTTTGCATTTTGTTTATACTAATTGATCTATCGCTAATCCTACGTTAAATGGAAGAAGAAGAAAAAAAGGAACAAAGTTTCGGAAAGAAACATTAAATTGTCATCTTTTTCAATAAAATGTACAAATAAAAAGTATGGTATAAATTGAAACTTACTCTTCTAAAAAATGTTCAATCCTCGTGTAGGTATCACGAAGATCGAGATCTCTAATGTGTCTTGAAAGGACGATCGTTGATTCAAAATCTGACACGTTGGATGGTAAATAATAGTTGTATTGAAATCCGGAAGAAAATACGATGCTTCCTCTTTTATTCGATCTCACAGGTATCGATGCACCTAACGTGATCTACACAAAGAAAGAACAAAATAAACAAACAATAAATATTAATTCAATCAAAAATTATATTACTTTTATACACACATAGTATTTCGTAATCGTGTATTGTGAAAATGTTAACAATATTGTTATGTTTATTTATAAGTATATAAAAAATATATGCGTGTGTAAATTTGTTGGATATGCATATACTCGAACGAATAAAAATCAAACTTCAAAAGTGACTCCCTGTCTTTCTCCTCTAACTTTACTTTTCGCAAAATTCGATGAAAACTTGAAAATTGAAACGTCAATTTTTCACTGAACAATCTTTAACTTAGAAAATTGAATTTAAGACTTTTCGTAGAGAACCCAAGACACAATTCGCAATAACTGTCTCGCGAATATTTGCGAGCATCTGTGCGAAAAAAGATCTTTTTCTCGCTTTCCTTTCGTATTTCGTATTTTGGAAAAAAAAAACAACAACAAACGAGAAGGAAAAATATCAAAAATAAATTGTTCTTTTAACGTTCGAGCATCAATTTTACTCGTATATTCATTTGGAAGCTTTCTTCTTATTTTTATTCTTTTTTCTTTCCTTTCTTCATTTCTCAATCTTACGTTTTTCTTACTCTTATTCGATAATAAAAACGTTAAATAATAATTTATAAATCTACCCGAGAAATATAAAAATGGTTCAACGAAAAAGTTCAAACTTTTTCAAGAATTTGCAATATTCGTTGAAAAATTAAAGAAAAGGAAGTGGAAGAGAGATCGAAGTAGTAGAAATGGTAAAGTTCGACTTCCGAAACTAAAATCGTTCTTTTCAAATTCCCTGGGCTTCTCTCTCTCTCTCTCTCTCTCTCTCTCTCTCTCTGTCTCTCTGTTTTTGTCTTTGTCTTTGTCTTTTATCCTCCAGTGACTCAGAAATCGAGTAATCGTGTGAACGGGATTTAATGTGCTTCATATCCACCAACTACAAGAGAATGCGCTTTGTTTTAATTCAATTCAACCTATCTCTTTTTCTCTTGTTCTCACCTCTTTCTGGTTTTACATTTCTCTCATTCTCTCGAAAAATTGACTTCATAATAAACGCAATAGAAGAAAAGTACAGGCAAACGAAGGCTTCGTGTTCGTTCAATCATTCGACATTATTCGAAACAAAATTCTGATATATCTCGAAAAAAAGAAATACGTTTATTTTCATTGGATATCAAAACGCACGCCTCATTGTAAGAGGGAAAAAGAGAGAGATAGACAGAGATAATGTTTGGCAGAAAAAAAAACTGGGACACCTTGTATATTTTCTAAGTAATAATAATAATTAAAAAAATATAGAAATGTTTTCTAATGACGCGTTGTTACTCGTGTACGATGTAAACTCTTGAAGGAAGTTGATTGATCGTTGAAAAGAAATCAAAGAAAGTTTCACGAAATAATGAAAATACGTGTGGTAAGGGTGTTTTAACGAGTACGCGCGTCTTTCTCAATTGAAAATGATGAGAAAAATCATCTTGTTAAGCCTGGCAGGTTATTTTATTCTCTACTTGCGGTAAAACGAAGGGGTGGTTGACCCTTCGGCATCGTCATATTTCTATCTCTTTATCTCTTTCTCTCTCACCTTTAGCAACGTAGAACAAACGATCCGAAGCCCGTGTAAAGAGGTCGGTGTAATCATTCGTGCAACTCCCCTGCGAGAGAGTAAAGTCTTTACTAATTAAAAACTCCACGGAGGCATTTGTAAAGAAACGGGTAAAAAAAGGAAAAAAAAAAAAAAGGAAAAAAAAGGAAGAGAGAGAGAGAGAAGAAAAAAGGAAAAAGAAGGAAGGAAACCATTTCCTTAAAAACGCTCCGTTTTATTCAGTCGATATCGTTCTTAATTATGGTGACAGGAGGAACAGAGATGAAAAGGAAGAAGGAATAGGGGTAGAAAAGAGAAGAATACAAAATAAAAAAAGAAAAAGAAAATGAGGAAGATGAGATAGTGAGAAAGGGGGTCGAGGAGGTAGAACGGGGGAAAAGGAGAATGATACTTTCTCGTGATTCGCTGAGCACCGAATCTCAGTTTATACTTTCGAAGTTCCCTCGTTCGAGAAAGTTCTTGAAAAACGTTGTCTTTCTTACAAAATGGTATATAGGTACCTACTACCTTCTTGTTTCTTTTTCTCCTTTTTTTCATTGACCGGTATCTTTATCACTTTACTATTATGTCCGTATATCCACCATCAATTACGTTTCACATGAAAACACGGACATGTCTTCTCGAATTAGTCCTCGCTTCTCGTTTCGTTTGATTTAGTTTTATTTAGTTTGGTTTGGTTTGGTTTTATTTAGTTTCGCTCTTCGAACGAATTTGAACGGTAAGAAAAAAAAACATCGTAACAGATTCGTACAAATTAAGTCTATTAATTAATTAGGTAAAAAACTTTTTTTTTTATTTGAAAGATTCACCTTTATTATTGCAAATAGTCCCTCGGAAAAGCGCGATACACCAGGGAACAATTTTTCCTATTGCACGATTTATCTTCCGACCGATGGTACAATGGTCCCTTTTATCCCTTTACTTGAGGCAACCACTCTTACGATTCTTCGTATTCGACACCCCTAACCCACAGAATAGAAAGAGAATGAGTTCTCTTTCTATCTATTTTAAAGTTCTTTAACCTTAGTAATTCATGCAGGAACGTGGAAATTGGGTTACGAGGCCTTTTTCTTTTCTTTCTTTTTCTTTTTTTCATTTCTCTTTAATAATATCTGATTTGATAAATTTCATTTCAAATTTTATACTTTTGTTTTTTCCATATTTTATTTGGAAATATTTTTGTATATTCTACACATCACCCACAACTCCTATGCATTAAATAATCAAATACGGGTTGTGTGATTTCGAAGTAAAAACTAATAGAAATAATAGGAAATTTCATACATTCTATATATATTCAGTTCTTCTGTTTAATCTTGATTTGCCACGGGAGCACAAATCGCAGTTTAATATTAACTTGTAGAAAATGTATACTAACAGTGAAAAGGTTGGTATGTTGCTAATACTTTGCGAATGTAAAAGGAATACACGTGAAGCAGCAAATCTGTATGCTGCAAAGTACCCAGAAAGGCACCTGTATAAAGCGAAAAAATTTCACAAAAAGGTCTGAAACAGACAGCACTGTGGTATTGTTTGTGTTTTGTTTAAATAACAATAAATTACACACATAAGTAAGTTGTTTGTGTCGCCTTTGTTCGCCGGCGACAAGTAAAATAATTTTTTGTTAAAATTATCATGTCTTTGCTTTCAAGATCATCCAAAGGTCATAGTATACTATATCGTTGAATTCGTATATATATGGGCTATAATACTGTAAAGTCAAAAATAATAAGTGCTATTTAAAAAACTAAAGATAGCCTTAAAAAACATTAAAAACAACATTTTTTGAACTTTCTTTTATCGCAATGTATAGTCAATCAAAAACAGATCAACTTTTGTTTAAAGTATTTTTTTGTCAGGTTATCGCAAGTACTTAAAAAATCGTGACTAGAGTTATATGGGACACCCTGTATAATGATCTAATATAAATCATATCTAAATATTAGGTTAGCAACTAAGTGATTATGGATTTGAAATAAGAAGGAAAATTCCAAATTATTGCTGAAAAATATAACTTTATTCAATTAGGGGTACTGTCCGTTTTTTTCGATGATCTTTTGTCATCGTTCAGGCAGAATCATAATTCCACGTTCATAAAATTTCTGATCTTTGCTATCAAAAAACGGAATTAAATGTGATTTGTCTATCGATAAAATCCGTGATCACTTAGTTGCCAATCCAATATATTCAATAAAGAATTGAACTAATTAACAACGTATTATTAAATAATCTATAAGTCTAATGAATGAATTGTCTATAAAATAATATGACAATATTTACCTGAAAAACGGAACCGGAGGGATAGAGAAGAATGGCTTTGGTCCACGAAGAAAATGAGAATAAGAAAAGTCCGTAGTGTATGAGAATGGTCGTTGGTAAAAATGATGTAAGTTGCATCGAGGAAACGATAACGATGGCTGGTGCCAGCACTAAAACTGTTTTCCACGATGCGTTATAATCTCGACGACTATCATTGCCATAGTCGTTGGTTCGTTCGGTCGGAGAATATCGGAAGCAATCGTGACTTCTTTCCTTTTCCCTCAGCCAGCCCTCAACCAGCACCACCACCTCTCCACCACTACCTCTCAGGACGAGTAATTGGAACTGAGCCGACATATTGGTCCACTGGTCAATGAACCGTGTACGGCCTCTTATTGCATTGGTCGAATTTTTTACGATTTCACGAATACACGATAATCATTGGTGCGGATATTTCTCGATAAGTCACAAGGAACTAACCAATATTTGCATTCCATTTAAATGATCTCATAAACTGTAAAGCCTCTTCCACTCTCTAAACAAAAAGAAGAAATGAACATTCCGTTGAAATTTACTTCCACCAGTGGTTATTTTTTTCCCCTTCAAATAATACTAGAGTTTGAAGTAAAACAAATGTTGAAACGGGTATGCGTCTGCTTCTCCGTATATTTGTTAAATGTTAAAGTAAACTATTTCGAACTGGTTCGATATTTTATTTACTTTTTCGATTATTACGTCTCGTGTCAGACTTATTGTGAATTTTTCATGTTAGTGATCGTAAAAGATGAACATGGTTTTTAAAATCAAATATATGATGCCGTTAATAAAATTAATCTAACACTAGCAATAAAGTATTCCGTCTGTAAAAAAGCACTTCGGCTAAGAGTATTCAGTCTTCGTAGGGTTAATAATTTAAATGTTTCATTGACTTTAAGATATGATACTTGTTTCTATTTTTTGTAGCGATATTATAATTTGTTTCAACAAATTTTGAATAACGAGAAGATAGTACATACTATATGTTACGAGCTTAAAAATTGCAAAAAAAAAGTATATTAGAACAGAAAGACAAAGAGAAACGGACAAAGTTGAAGTTTAGCAAGTTTTCTTTCGAGATACGAGTATCGAGATAGACCGTAAAGATGTCCGATTGTCGTTCTCTTGGAAATCTCTTAGAACGAGAAAAAGGAACTTTTCTAACAGCACGTTCCTCGGTATTACATGTAACAATAGCTCTCGAAGTACTTACATACACACATACATAACTGCATACTACTCTTACAATGTACGCGTATAAACGAAAGAGCTTAAAATTGTTAAGTAAAGAATAAAAAACTTCTTTCGAGCTTATTTACGACTATGGGAAAGAAAGCACCAAGACAATAACTTCATATCGAACAAGAAAGAAACTTCAAATTTGTCCTAAGAACGGAACCTTGATTATTGCTTTTTCCCTCCCCTATCTCCCATTTTAACGTGAAATCGGTCGAAAAAGTATTACACTTCTCTTATAAAAACTAAACACGTTTTATAGATTTTTGTTTAACTTTGAATTACCGAAATTGCATTTAAAACAAAAGTAATAGTATTGTTGTAACAATATTGTCGTTGTTTAAATTATCAAGTAGAATAAATTTGAGATATTTTCTTATTCCTATTTTCCAGCAGACCTTTGATAAAAGTATCCCAACTACGGTGACCTTTTTTTGAACACAAAAAATAACGGTACAATAAACCAACACACACACACACACACACACACATAGGGAAAACACACCGAGTCGCATTTAAAATTCCAAGATAACTTGTTACTTTCGAGAGTCAACCTAGCCGCGTTAGTTAGTGACACATTTTGCATTTTCTTCTTTTTTGTTTTTTCTTTTTCTTCTTTTTATTAAATAAAAGAAAGAAACATTCTCATTATACGAGTTTTTCGCTCGTTAATTGAAACGAAATTAATAACATTGTTGTTATTTTCTCGTTACTAGGTGTACATGCGCGAATAATTAAAAAGATTTTTTTTTATAAATTCGTTACAGGTCGAATCAAATTTAAAGAGATAAAAAAGAAGGTAAAAAAAAAAAATGGATAGACAAGCAATTGTGTATGATAAGTTTAACTGAAAGATGGTGGTTGTGCCTAATCCGTGATCTCGATGAGATTTTAATTCAACTTCGGTCGTTAATCTCTCTCGGACGAAAACGGAATTAATTAAAGGTGCTTAAACGACCGGCTGGGACGGGGCAATTATTGGATTTACAACGCTATCGCTATCGTTCAGAAGATATAGGAGGAAGAGAAGGAACCCGAAGAAGAGGAAGGTGGGTTCGGAAAGGTAATAGGGAAAGGTTTAAACCAATACATCCATGAATCCAATATACAAACTTATCCCCACTCCTCGATAATTCCATGTTGTTCGGGATCACCTATATGATATAATACACGTAAACCTAATCCCTCCCTCTCCCTTTCCACCATGCAATATTTTCTTCATCTCTCTCATTCCTTCGATCGACAATCTCTGGAAAAGGCAGAAGAGACATTCTAAGTGCTTGGTAAGAAGGAAAAGCTATCACCTCCCAACCCCCAGTACCACCATTCCCATCATCACCTCTACCTCTGGCCCCCTTTTTACTCACTCAGTTCGACTTTCTTCTCTCATTTCTCTTGTTCCTTAGACGTTTATAGCATTCTTTAAATCTACGATTACCTTTGCTTCTTTGCACGAGTTCTTATTTATTCGATCGGCAGAAGACTTACGTTGCTTCTTTTTATCTCGTTAAAGCTCTCGATAACTATGCTACGAGAGTATAAGGTGCTATGAAAAGAAAATAAGGGGCAAAAGTATAAGTAAGTAGGTACTTACTTACTTATATCTCTAAAGAAAAAGAAAGAAAGAGAGAGAGAGAGAGAGAGAGAGAAAGTGTTTTTAAGAAAGAAGAAAAAGTACAATTTTTTTTCCCCTTCAAATGCGAATGAAATTTGCACATTCTTTTTGTCATTCGATTATAGTATTAGATTTTTGTAAAAAAGGAAAAAATCAAAAATCAGATTTTCTCTGTAAAGACGAACAATAAGAATTTGTCGAAAATAAGTATGAATAAAATTATGTTAATAGAGATTTTCTATGCGTTATCACGAAAATTTTCAATTCGATGAATCCTTTAAAAAGAGGCTTAACCATGAATAAAGAGAGTGAAAGAGAAAGAGAGAGAGAGAGAGAGATAATACACGCGAGTACCGATAGAGAATGATTTTCAATGAATATTCATACTCATATTTTATCAGACGTTTAACTGTGACTCCTTCGACGGTTCGTCACATTTCTTTTTTCTCGTTTTTTCTTTGCCTCCTCACTCCTTCTTTTCTTTTTTAAATAATTAACGGAACGATCATGAGAGTTAGACTTTTATCCTCGCGTTAACACGCTGCACGTTTTCTCATCTCTCTTTCTTTCTTTCCTTCTTTTCTCAAGCTTTTAAGCACGCCACGTACTTGGCTCTACCGCACGATAATGGGCTACGCTTTTTAAAGTACTATAATACACTACCATTATCGTTTTGCAACCAGTTTCTATCGTCCACTAGTGCAAATTCTTACCTAGTAGTTTTACGTCCTGCTACATGTACATATATATATATATATATATATATGTTATCGTTAAAATGTATAATCCAGTTAATTCATGAAAAACCTATGTCTTACACGAAATAATTAGGCGTTTTGAAAAAAAAACATGTATATGAACAAAATCGTTAATCATAGATTTAAACTAAATGTTTTGAAATAGCTAGATAAAATATAAATTATCGATGAGGCAAGTAATTAAAGTATGAAATTACAATCGAATTTGCCTTAGAGGTTTGCTTTTTTTTTCTACAACAATACTCGCAATTATTTGTTCTTATCTCTTCCTGTACTTTGACAAATTTATGTTATCGGATCAAATTTCAATTTTATACTTTAACAATTCACCTATCGCGAATTTTTATATTACTGTATTATTACTATATAAATCAAATAATAAAGAAAGAAATTTTAAACTTTTTCGAGAGATTCGGAAAGAAAAAGAGAGAGAGAGAGAGAGAGAGAGAGAGAAAAGAAGAAGAAAAGAAGAAAAGAAGAGAAAGAAACCTCTCGATTTGGATGAAACGTTCCAATTGGTAAAAACAACGAACCTTAGACTCTTCTTGCATTTCTTTTCCTTCAATTAAGAGATAAAGATTCATTTTCATTTATCTGACCTATGAATACCGGAGCTAACGCGATATCCTGCTTAAACGAACTTTATTTTAACCATCTATCTTTATCATCGAGAAAACTAATTATCCCTTTTTAAAAGAATCTCTTTCTCTGCCAGACTGTTAGTCCGAAACCTTTTTCATAGGTAAATACACTTCTTTAAGAAAATAAGCATATAATGCTGCGTTAGATTTATGCATTAAAAACAAAATTTTATTTGTAAATGTCTTAATGAAAGCTCATACGTTCGATAAATTGTCTCGTAATCCGTGCAATCGTAATATTGATCGAAATTTATCGAAAATCGAATACATTTAGAGAAATAGAGTAACGTGTTCAATTCGGTTTGCCGGTGCTATCGATTTATTGATGATGACTATAAGAGGAGAAGGAGGAAGAGAAGAAGGGGGTAGGAAAATGGGAATACAAAAGTAGAAATAAGCGGAAAATCTCTCCCCATTCATCTATCTATCTATCCATCTATCTATCTATCTGTAGGATATCCAAGTATTCATATATATATTTTTCTACATTTTTCTGTATTTTTCTATATTTATCTGTCTATCTATCTACTTATATATACTTTTATCATTTATTATTAATATGGATAAATTAAAAAGAAGAAACTTTAAATAATATGTACAATAAATCAAATTAATAAAATTTTCTTTCGATATTTTTTAATCTCCCATTGGCGAATAAAATAAGTCAGGAAAAAATTTTGAAAGAAAGATTCGCGAATTCCATGAAGATAAAATCGCAAAGAACAAAAAAAAACTCGAAGAAAAGGATTGGTCGAACGAGCGGCAGAAACGCCAGAGATTCTTTAATACCCTAGAATTCTGACATTCCTTGTTTTAAGTGAGTGTGAAAGAGAGAGAGAGAGAGAGAGAAATATATGTCAATATATATAGAAAGAGAGGAGGGATGATTTTCGATCGTACTTTTAGGCAAATGAATGTCAGAAAAAGTGTAAGGAAGAAAAGGAATATGAAGAACAGAAAATAGGAGAAGTTTGAAAAGGTGGCTGGGTGCCTTTGCTCGCCCACTTGCCTGCCCACTTGCCAACCCACTTGCTCACTCGATTTTCTAGTGACGTTGCAGAAGGATCGTAAAAGTGCGCATATTGATGAACGGAGAAAGGATAAGAGAAGACACTTTCGGTGTCAAAGCGAAAAAGGGAATTTGTCGAAGAAACGAGAAGAACAACAAATCGATCAAATATTTTTCGTAACGTAATCCGCCAAAACAAAGAGAAAACGATGATAAAAATGTATACGTTGTTGTTACATACATTATTATTATTATTATTATATTAATTATTATAACAATATACGTATATGCATAATAGATTTAATTTGCTATCTATCCGATTATGTTTTTCTTTCGCGCGTTCGCATGAGTTCATATAAAATGAAAGAAAATGACATATGTGTTGAAAACCCAACCACCCACCCATCTTAAACTATTTATTCCAGTTTCTAATCAAAACTTTGATATACCAACAATTGAATCTCGCGTTAAATACTTCATTTCCATTCTGACGCTCGCAAAAATTCACTGAACGACGCGAACTAAAGTAAACGAATCTCCCCTCCTTAAGAGGGTAGAATTCTCCTAAATCTCGGGGAATGTTTTAAAAGTTATAAACAACAGCACCCGAGCGAGTAATAACGTGGATGAACGAACCGTGCTTTCTTGAGCTCCCGCGTTCAGAACTTTTTCACGATGGGTGTCGCTTATCGAGCACTCCGACAATGAGATTACAAATCCTAACGCATATTAACTTCTCGAAAATCCGATATTCCGAATTTCAATAGTTTGTCTAACTAATCTAAACCTTTAATTTCATTGTAAAAACCGAAATAAAATATATCGTATTTGTCAATTTTCATTGAAAATCGATTGAAATGTATATTAAATAAAAACTATTAGATCGGGGAAAAAAAGTAAAGGGTTTAAAGATTCAGACACGTAGGACCGTTGAAAATATGTCTAGCACACTCCTGCGGCATTCCGGATAAAGGGCGTGGCAGTTTTCAGCCGCTACCTGCTTGCCCAGCTGCTCGGCTGCCCTGTACTCTCGATCCCCGTACTCATCGTACTCTTCCTCGGTACTCGACGGCCTGCAAAATCCAGAAAAATTCTTCACCGTCCAACAACGACGTTCTTTCTTTGAAAACATTATGAAAGCCAACGCATGTCACAACCACCACTACTACCATTACCACTACTATTACTATACTACTATTACTAGTATTACTACCACCATTACATGTCCCATACTCCCCCATCTACGGACAAAAGGAGGAAAGCAAAAGGATAGGATGGACGTCGTTCTCTTTTTTCGATTCATTTCCACCTCGCTCTTCTCCTCCTACTCCTCTTTTCCTATTCCCTCTTCCTTTTTTCCCCCTTTTCTCTCGAATTCCTCTTTTTGTCTCCCTTTCATTCCACACTCAGGGAGTTTTCTTGAATTTTCGAAAATCTGTAGCACGGCTAGACTGCTCGATCGATAAGTAAGGTCGCTGCTTTCCCGAGCTTAATATATATATATATATATATCTTAAAACTATACGCCCACGTTAACGTTTCATCTTTCTTCGACAATGTCTTTTCTTTTTTTTATTTCTTTATTTTTTCCTTTCGTTAATCAAAAATTTAAACTATTTTTTTATATCAATCCGAAATCAATCATAATTCAATTTTCCTACAAAATTACTATTACTTTTTATATTTGGGGACTTATTTTTAATATAATAATTATAATAATAAGGTCTTTATGCACAATCACGAATAGGACTAGGTTTGAAATTTTGTAACAATAGCTTCGAGCTATCTTATTCATTCATTCTTTCCTCCTTTCCATTCACACACACACAATCATCCAATATTGTTATTTTAATATTATATATTTTGTATACCTATCTCATATCCATGCGTTATTCTTTTGACGATGATAATATATATATATACATGCATATATCTAAGTATTTAATAAATGAAAATTTATGTAGAAGCTCTGTGAGTGCGTTAAATTTACTCTGATAATAATGATAAAATAGTTTCTGCCATGGGCCGTACCAGAAATGTATTTAGGTAAATATATACATGTAGAATATAATGTTCGAATTTAAACTTTGTGTTCAGCGTATATAATACGTTCTTCGGATTGTCGATGCAATAATAAGATTATCCCAATCTTATCGCGAAAATTTGATTTTTGACCGTGCGGAGAAAACCGACCGAATACTACGATACTAAACGACGTAAATATGTAATACTTATATACATTTATATATATATATATGTACATTTACACGTATGTATAAATTTCACGAATTCATCGTGTATGCTAATGTTATTAACTTCTCCGGGCGGACCGTTGGCATTAGAGATTTTCTCAAGTATACTTCTAACATAATTGTACCGCAAAGGGATGATTTAGAAGTGGGACACTAGCTCGATGGTTAATGCTACGACAGTTTGCTAAACGAAACGAAACGAAATTGCACGGTCATTCTAATTGTACTATTTCTCTATTTTAATGTAAAAATAAATAAAATGTCCATTACTTTGCGCTAACCAACCGTGCGTTGTCTGTTTGTTCAATTATTCTTTGAATTAGTAAGAAAAGAAAAAAAAGAATAAAATTACTTTCCTCTACGTGATCGTAGAGAGGATAGAAATAAAATAATATAAATGAAAATAAAATGAATTTAATTGGTGACTTACTTAAAAAATATTTCCATCAATTGACCGAATAATCCGTGATGCGTGTCAAAAGGTACCCGCGAGGCTTCGCAAATTGCCCTCAACAAACAAGCTTTTCCACCGTAACCATAAATGGCCGCAACTTTTTGAAGAATTTTATAAATGCTCCATCTACTTCTGGTATTTCTGGTGTAGTAAACTCCAGGCTCGGTAAAGTCTGTACTATTTGTCGGTAATTTATAAATTATTTTGATAAAAACACCGACGATTACGCTCTCTCGATCCAATTGCAATGGTGTTCCAAGGCCAAAGATTAACTGTAAATAGAAGAGAATTATGAATCATACAAATGAGAAATATTTATTTAACATAATACAAATATTAAACAAATGACGAAAAATCTATGTGTGTGTGTGTGTGTGTGTGTACGTGTCGGCAATTCGAGGTAATATGCAATATAAGAATTTATTATTTCACCGACGAAAATAAAGTATCGGTGTATCGGAGTTTCGGTTGTATTTTCTCTGACCAATCCGGAGGAAAGCAACCACCGTCCAGATACTCCCTGAACGATCCAATGCGGAAATTCGCGGTTTTATCGGAAATTCATACACGGACGAAGGCACATACTATAGTAACAGAAACGAGCCTCCTACGGAAATTGGACGAACTACAAACGATCGTCTACAAAATCGTCGATGTTCGACGACGATTGTCACGGTCTATGCGTGTACTCGAAAGAAGATCGGAGTTATTATTTACGATTCGATTAGGATTCCCAAGGATTATATCGTGATCGTGATACTCTAATCTAACGATATCATTTTATTTTATATCTAACTTTTTTTTATCTATTAAATCCCTCCTATCTTGGATATATATACCTAAATACTTACAAAAACAAAAATATTATTATTAAAAAAAAAAGAGAATTTGCGTTATCTCGACGCGTGATAGAAATGAAACTCGTATTATTCTATGAAAAATAATAAATTAATTTATACATGTAGTGAGTGTCCCTTAAAATCGTATATTTTATTGTGTAATTATAATAATATATAATATATTATAGATAGATAAGATAATTAATAATTCTTTTATTAAATGTTGTTTATATGACCTTCCGAAAATTGCGCATGTGTATAACGGGAATGATATACCTAATAAATAGAATTTAAGATTATAACGTTCTGATTTTAGCAGTTTTTTTATTTTTATGTAATTATTTTAACGCTCTAACGCAGCGATGACTTCGAGGGTAAAATTTGTCTGTAATATAAGTAGAATACATTAGAGTATTAAAGTAATTGTTAATTAATCAAAGGAAATGTGTATTGTTGTTTAAAAGCACGTAATATAAGATCTACGTACCGTCCTCATCGAAATCCACCGTTAGACTGGCACGTTGTCCTCTATGAAAGTTCTTTTATTGAATGTTGTTTAAATGAGACTTTCCGTAAATGGAAATTCTATTTATTGTGCAGATTATTTTTGTTAAGCATATGTACCATATAAGGAAAGTCTCATGTAAACAACATTTAACAAAAGAACTTTAACAGAGGACAATGACTCAGTTTAACGATGGATTTCGAGGAGAACGATGCATAGGACGCATATTCCATGCTTTTTAACAACAGTACGCACTTTCTTCGATTGATTAATAATTATTTAAGGTATATCGAATACTTAGTATTGTTCTCTACTAATATTTTTAATTATTTAAACATTCTAACTTAATTATTATTCCTAGTTCGAAATTATTTTTGTATAATTCATCGTGCATTCTTCTAGTAAGAAAAATAAGAGTAATACATTTATAGCAAATAGAAACGATCGAAATATTTGTTGTCTATTTCTTTCTCTCCCTATTTCTTTCTTTTCTTAGTTTTCATTCGTCGTAGTTGTAGGTAGAAGAAATAGACTATATCGATTTTGCGTTGAAACGACCGACTAGACCAACGTAAAAACGCTTTTCACAAGTCTCGTGTACAAAAGCTTTCCGCGAATCTCGTTAAACTGTCCTAACCAGATACGAACATGATTCTCCCGTGAAAATTCCTACCGATTTTATCGAAAATTCATAGGAATGAAAGATAACATGCCTACCTAGTCTATTTCCAATACATTCTCATCAATAAGTATCATATGTTTAATATATTCACCTGTTATATAACACATTAACGAACATTCATTTTTTATTCTCTAAATCTTTTTAATCATACTTTATAATTGATAGAAAGAATTGAAATAAAAGAAAAACAATTATAATCGAAAATAATTCAAATGGTCCAAATTCGAATGAATTTGATAAATTTTGAACGTAGAGAACAAGGTGAGCATGTTTTGATCGAGTATGCAACGACAATTGCACAATTAAATGGATAATTAGACATTTACCGATAGTACTTGTTCCTTTATTGTTTACGAGCATTATCTCTTACTACCAAACTTCCTTGTCAACGCTTGATTACAGTTTCCCTATATCACACGGTATTGAATAGAATAGAATTAAACGATAAGCTTGGTGTAATCATCAATGTCTATCCTCTCTAATTGAACGATGTAATTATGCACGTGATTGGATTCCCGATAATTAGACGCAAATCGAACTTAGTCGTATTTCATTCGCAATCCTTTTCCGGTTTACATTTTGCGATACGATAAACCTTGTTTAAGAAAAAATCGCTATCTTTCGTAAAGAAACCTTAACAACAAATTCATTATCGTAACTAACAAGTTGCTCCGTGTAATTTTGTTACGTTTATTCGATTTTCTTATAACAGAATTGTTACGCAGAATAAATCGTTCGTATATTTGATTATTAAAATTCGTATTTGCCAATACGATGTGTGAATTTTTCACACATGTTAGATAATTACGATGCATATTAATAAAATTATGAATAATAACGATAATGCACAACATACGCAATTACGAAATGACATACTACGAGCTACTATAATACGAAAACGACGATAGAACTCGACGTTATTAGTGAGCACGTTTCTTGCGATGCTTTTAAGCTTCCTTAACTACCGTCAACGTCACCGTTAATGTTCCACGACTCTATTTTTAAGAGAGAAAGTCCACCACGGGACGCCTCGAAACAGGCTAATTACAGTTTCTCTTCTACGGTCTTACTTTTAAAAAGTGTCCCGAATATGCTTATGCATCGAATACCCGACGACAAGAAACTCGCTCGATTTTTATCACGAATTTTTGTATCCTTCGGTAAAAAAAAAAACAGAATCGGGGAAAAATTCGTATTTGCTTCTAAATTATTTTCTTCCTTCCTTTTTTTCCTTTTTTTCGTTTAATATATACGATAAATTAATGATTCTCACGTGAGATCGTATTTTCGTTCGATCATTTTCTAAATCTCGTTCTATTATCGAAAATAGCGATAGAAGAAAATGAAAAAGAGAGAGGGAGAGGGAGAGGGAGAGGGAGAGAGAGAGAGAGAGAGAGAAAGTATGAAAGGAAGCAAAGCTTCTTCGATGAAATGAGAACGTACCAGAAGGGTCGCGGGTATCGATGCATCAGGAAAAACCAGGGCTCTCCTTTCCCTCGATGAGATGGTCGTGTCGTTGACCCTAGCTGATGCTTTTGCTTCTGCTGGAGCTATTCGAAGACCGATCACGTCCTTCAAATCGTTGACTCGTTGATAGGAATTTTCAGATTGCAAAAGTAATAGTAAAAACAGCACGATCCTCTTCGTAGTTGTCATCCTAGACTTTAGGATCCGTTCTTCTTACCAATCTAGTTTTCTGATCGAATAATGATGAGTTTTATGAGAAATCAACTGACGAATTGGATAAGAAGAAGAAGAAGAAGAAAACGAGAAGGGGAAAAAAAGAAAGGTAGAGGAAAAGAAAACGAACAAAAGAAGCGGAAGAAGAAGAGCGTACTCGAACTGCTGATTCCTTTCAGACATCTGTTAAGTTCCCTCGCTGTCGGCCGCTGTTTACATCCTCTTACAAACCTCAATGATCAGTCAAAGAAACTCTACCCACCTTACCTAAACTACTTTGTCGAGTAAATTAAATGAAAACCTTCAGAAGTACGCTTATTTATTCACTTACATATTCCGCATACTTCGTTCGCGAGTCTAATTCCTCTTTTTTTTAAAAAAAAAAAAAGAAAGAAAAAGAATCTAAGATATCCAGTTTTAATCACGTGTGTTCGTTATTTTCTATCCTTCTTCATTCTTCAAGCTAAATCCACGAGATAATGTTAATTTTGTGAAACGTTCGTGCATCGTTGAACGCATTTACGAGATATTTTACTAAATGCAGTGATAATGATGTACTCGAGAATTAGGAGTTAAACAAATTGTTGTATTTTATTCAGGTTTAAACCTGATAATTGTACTAATACGGATTCGTTTAGTTCCTGGTTTCCTGTAGAGCTTCGTTTATTCGGCCAATTAGAACATCGTTCTATTCTCGTCGTCTTCTTCTTCTTCTTCTTCTTCTTCTTCTTCTTCATGTGTATTCTCTTATTTAATTTTATACTTTTTGTTGTTGATATATTTTAATGAACAATCGTGGTAAGAAAGATGAATAAAATTTTGCTGTAGCTACCGACTACTATCCATATAAAGCTTCCATCCACCCTTATACAAAATGGGTTACTTTTATGAGCTCGTTCGTGGATAGAAGAAGGAGAACTTGTAATTCAATTTAATGCTAGAATAAGGCGTCCTGTTACTTCACTGAAATTCCAGAATGTCTTCGAATTACGAAAACCGCTAGAACCACGCATTCGTTTACTACCTAGAAAATCTTCTTCGTTACGTTGAAAGATTGTTACGACATTTCTTTCCTCTATATAAATTCCTACGAAAACACTGAATTTTCTTATTACGAGGAATACGCGTAGGAAATGTTTTTCTTGATTAGAAATAACTTTAAAAGGACTTATAAATAAATCTTATTATTTTATGATTAGGTAGAAATAGTTTTGTTTTAAATCGTACCCCCAATAAAGAAGAATCCGAAATATCCGTGAAATTGTCAACTCGAGCATTTATAATAAACCCTTTGAACAAACTGCTCGTTCAAATAACGTACGTTCGACGACTGTAAAAGTTGAAGTTTTTCTCGGTTTCGGTATACGTATAAGCGAAATAATATCGTTTCGTTTCCAGACACGTTTCTAAATATCGCGAAACGTTCTCTCGAAATACCCCGAAATTGTGGCACATTGAAAGCGGAAAGGAAAACACGAGCTAGGAGAGACTGTTACTCGCGTTCTGAGTTCTCCGAATGGTCTACTCGTCAAAGTTCAACTTAAAAGACCGATGTAACCTACCACAGCGTTTTGTGAAACTACGTTTTAATGAAAACCAAAATACTGTGAACTGAATATACAATGAATGTATGAGTACGCTTGACCAATTATAACTTCTCTTCCCTATTTCTTTCAATTTATTTTTTTATATTTTTCAGAATAAATTGTTAAAGATTAAATAGTTACATAAGTGGTATCTTCCTACTCGTCTTGGTATATCTCAATCTAAATTATAACTGTTTATTATTATTACCAAGAGATATCTACGATAATAAGAGGAATTATCTACAATCGGATTTTCAGAAGTAGTTAAGAGAGATTACGTGTGGGATTCTATGGTATTAAGGAAACAGAAATACGAGTATACCTACATATAGATATAATAATAATAATAATATATATATGTACATTGGTATTACTGGTTTTGAAACAATTGGAAGGAAAACATTAAGGACTGTTTCAAACTATAACGAATGGATCAATTCAATTAGAAGATTTATTTCTTGAAAATATATTATATCTGGATTTGGAGTAAAGGACTTGTAAGAAATTTGCAATCGACCATGATGACTAAACGATCATTTTCAATTACAAACAAAAACATATCTAATCATATGTTTACTCAAATCATCGATCAATCGATCAAACAACGATTTTTGTATAAATTTAATCAAACGAATTTATTTTATTTCTCTTGAATATTGTTCTCAAGTAATATTATATTTGAAAAGATAAACGAAACTTAGATATAAGACTTAATACGAGATGAATCTAAAAGGTGGACCATTTTTCCGAGGAATCTCGAGAAAACTCGACAGCCCTTCGGCGGCAAGCGTTTCCTTCTCCATGATGCAGGTTAACACGTTCTAGTTTGAACAAACCAAAAAGTGTATTCCTACACAATATGAAGTTTCAAACCTCTTTCTCTCTCTCTCTCTCTCTCTCTCTCTCTCTCTCTCTCTCTCTCTCTCTCTTAAATTCCACTTGTTTCTGACAACGCTGAACAGTAAAAACAGCCTGAAGCATTACCCTGTGAATTCTCCAAGATGACTCTTCCTCTTTCAAGACACGTAAACCGGATTTCCCGTCAATAACTAAAAACATACGATTCTAGAACGAAGTAGTTAGAATATTTCTCGTTGCTACGTTTTTATAATAAGTTTTAAGAATAAATTAACGAGAATATTTACTTAACGAAGTTTTGCTTATTATCATTCGTCATTCTCGTTATTTAATTTAACATGTTCGAACGATTATGTATCCAAGATAGACTTAAACTAATTATAAGATTTGATCTATTTATCTAACCAAGGTAAATAATAGATCTTCTTACTATTAGATTATAACGTAGAGCAAGGAAAGTCGAAACCACATTAATCGTAGAATCTCGAAGTAGACGATAGTAAAAGAGCTAGTCGTAAAAGCATGGAAAGAGGTAGGATGCCCAGAAAGATCTGTTGAAGAGAGGACGACATCTCGTAGAGTCCAAGGTCTCAAGGATTTAAGGATACGAGTAATAGTAGTAGTAGCAGTACTAGTAGTAGTGGTAGTGTAGTAGGAGCAAGAAGAGATATGAACTGGGTGGACATCGAAGATCGTAAGCTCAGTTCACGTGTATATCCTGATGCGTGGAATGTGATTTCGCCATGGAATTGAATTACAACCTTCGAACGACCTAATAAAATTCCACCCTCTAGAATCGTCCTCCCTCTCTCTTTTACACACACACACGCGCGTACTCTAACTTAAAGTACAACAACCCTGCTAGTACTATGACATTCGTGGGATTCACTCGTATATTTTTTCCTCTACAGTTTTACGACACCCAAGCACGACTTATCGATCCTCCATAAACGAAAGCGTCTATTCGTAAAAACTACGAGAATACGATAAAATTTATTTCGTTAAAAAAATAATCAGTAAAAGAAAGACAATCCTTTGTTTTACACGTTCAGTTTGGGGTTATAAAAATGATTTCTGGACATTTCAAAGTGAAATTCATTAAAATAAATGAGATAGGAAGGTTTACCGGACGCGATCCCTTATAAACTACGACTGCACGAGAAACTTTAAACGCGTTTATCCCAAAACAACATTTTTCAAAGCGAGCGTGAATTTTTCTCAGTAACTACTTAACCGATCGATTTGCAATTTTCCAGACATATAGAGTACACGTCAGGTTATCGTTGGACGGGCCATTTATTCCATTGCTTTAATATTAATATTTTGTCTGGGTCGTGAGAAACTAACATTTTTTCGTAAATATCGAATTTTTCTATTCCAAGGGATATCATTTTGTCAATTGAATTTTTTTTTTTTAATTTTCTTTCGTTCAATACACGATAAACACACATTCGCGTTATGAATAAAATAAAAAAGAAATAATTTGTTCATTTAGGATGTCAAGAACGACCGAATCGTTACGAGAAGAAGAAAATGAAAAAGAAAATACAAATGGGATGAAAAAGAAAATGGCAAGAAAAAAGAAAAGGAATAAAATGAAAGCAACTCAATTTTCCTCGAGTTAGTTTCAGCAATTGGAAATAGTAGTCGTAGGATGGACAACTACTAAAGTGAAGTTTTCGATTGTCGCGAAGTGATTGCCGTCATGATTGAGGTTGTCGAACATAGACGAGTAAAATCGACGGACGTCGAGAAACGATCGATTGCATGTCGAAAACGTAACGAAAAACCATTAGGCATCGTGGGCTCTTTTCATTCGTCAGTACGAAATAAGCGATATCAACGTTGACGAGCCACAAATCGTCTTTCTTTTCGAACTCGATTTTTATTATTCCAAAGAAATTACCAATAACACAAAATATATAAGCTAAATGTTGCTATTTATCGCGCTTCAAAATCTACGAATTTCATTTCGCCAAATTGATGTTTCTTTATCTTTTTTAATATAAAACCTTTGTTGTTCGTATTAGTTTCTAGAAAGAAAAGAAAAAAGAAAAAAGATATTCTAATAACTTTACGTACTATACGTTCTATAGAATATTAATATAAAAATTGAAGATAAGAAAAAAAGATAACGGTGAAACCTGATATCGTCTCGAAAGCGGCAATTTGTCACATCGCCGTATATTAATATAGATAAAAAATAAAAAAAGAACAAGAGATAGGATGATACGTTAACAAAGTTCAAAGGTTTCTACATCGACAAGGATGTAACGAACCGATGTAACGAAGTAAAATCGTATATTGTCGTCCGCTGTTAATTACCGTGAATAGGTTTGTCCTAGAAACTGGTCCTCGGTCATCCTGGTAACCCTTCCCCCTGTAACTCCCCTCTTACCAACTTCATCTCTTCTTCTCTCTCGTTCTACCCGTTCTACTCGTTCTATTCCCTTATTCATTTCAACAAGGAGTATTTTCTCTTTACGCGCACCTGTTATCGAAAGAAAGAACTGCCAATAACGTGCCGATAAC